AGTGAAGCCATCTGGGCCAGGGCTTTTTTTTGTTGGGAGTTTTTTAATTACCTTTTCAATCTCTTCTTTTGTTATGGGTTTATTTAGTTGTTCTACCTCTATTTGTGTCAGTTTAGGTAGGTAGTGTGTTTCTAGAAATTTGTCCATTTCCTGTAGGTTTTCAATTTGTTAGAGTACAATTTTTCACAGTATTCTGTAATGAACTCTCTTAATTTCAGTTGGGTCTTTTGCGATCTCACCCATCTCATTTCTTATTCTGGTTATTTGCTTCCTCTCCAGTTTTTTTCTTGTCAGTTTGGACAATGGTTTAATAATTCTTTGAGCTTTTCAAAGAACAAGCTTTTGGTCTTGTTAATGCTTTCAATTTTCTATCTATTTTCTATTTCATTTAATTCTGCTCTAATTGTTATTCTTTCTTCCTCCTGGTACCCGAGTGCTTCTTTTCCTGCTCTCTCTCCGCTTGTTCCAGTTGTAGGGTTAATGTTTTGATTTTGGCCCTTTCTTCTTTTTGGATGTGTGCATTTATTGCTATAAATTTTTGGCTCTTTCTTCTTTTTGGATGTGTGCATTTATTGCTATAAATTGACCTCTGAACACTGCTTTTGCTGTGTCCCAAAGGTTCTGGTAGGATGTGTTCTCATTCTCACCTGAATCTGTGAATTTCTTTATTCCATCTTTAATTCTTCTATAACCCAGTAGTTTTTGACCAAGATGTTGTTCAGTTTCCATGTGTTTGATTTTTTTTTTCCTTGCTTTTTCTGTTATTGATTTCCACTTTTATGACTTTATGGTTAGAAAAGATGCTTTGTAATATTTTGATGCTTTGGATTCTGTTAAGGCTTGCTTTATGGCCTAATATGTGGTCTATTCTGGAAACTCTTCCACGTGCATTGGAAAAGAAAGTCTATTTGTTTGCTGTTGGGTGGAGTGTTCTATATACGTCTATCAGGTCAAGTTGGTTGATTGTGGCATTTAAATCTCCCATGTTTTTATTGAGCTTCTTTCTGGATGTTCTGTCCTTCACCGATAGTGGTGTGTTGAAGTCTCCTACTATTATTGTGAAGCTGTCTATCTCTCTTTTCAATGCTGTTAGAGTTTGTTTTATGCATTTTGGAGCCATGCCATTGTTGTGTAAATATTTATTATGGTTACGTCCTCCCGGTATATTGACCCTTTAATCATTATATACTGTTATCCTTTCTGGTGGATTTTACTTTAAAGCCTATTTTGTCAGAGATTGATATTGCCACTCCTGCTCTTTTTTGATTGGTGTTTGCTTGATATATTTTTTTCCATCCTCTGAGTTTTAGTTTGCTTGTGTCTTTAAGTCTAAGGTGTATCTTTTGTAGGCAGCATATAGACAGATCGTGTTTTTTTTTTTATCCATTCTGCCACTCTCTGTCTCTTTACCGGTGCATTTAGTCAATTTACATTCAGCATAATTATTGGTAGGTATGCATTTAGTGCTGTCATTTGAACACCTTTTTTGTGTGTGTTGTGGACAGTTTCTTTGTTCCACTTAATCTTCTGTGCTAAGTCGTTCTTCTTTATGTATTTTCTTTTCATCTTTTTCACTGCTGTTGATTTTGTATTTGCTGAGTCTTTATGTTTTTCTTCTTTTTTATTCTGATGTGTAGGATTGTTAGTTCCCTTGTGGTTACCTTAATATTTACCCCTATTTTTCTAAGTTTAAACCACTCTTTTATTTCTTTATATCGCCTTGACTTCCTTTCCATATGAAAGATCTATGACATTTTTTAGTCTCTCTTTGTTGTTTTAATGTTGTCATCTTTTACGTGTTGATGTCTCTGTTTCCCTATTTTCAGTGTTTTAGCTTTGATTTATTTTTGTGACTTCCCTATCTGGGATTATATCTGGTTGTTCTGTCCTGTGTTCTAGTCTTGGGTTGTTATCTGATGTTACTGATTTTCCAACCAGAGGACTCCCTTTAGTATTTCACGTAATTTTGGTTTGGTTTTTAAAAATTCCCTAAACTTCTGTTTAACTGGAAATGCCCTAATTTCACCACTGTATTTGAGAGATAGTTTTGCTAGATATATAATTATTCGCTGGCATTTTTCTTCCTTCAAGACTTTATATATGTCATCCCATTGCCTTCTTGTCTGCATGGTTTCTGCTGAGTAGTCTGAGCTTAGTCTTAGTGACCTTCCTTTGTACGTGACTTTTCATTCATCCCTAGCCACTCTTAAAATTCTCTCTTTATCTTTGGTTTTGGCAAGTTTGATTATAATATGTCTTGGTGACTTTCTTTTGGGATGTAACTTTTGTGGGGTTTGATTAGCATCTTGGCTAGATATCTTCTCATCTTTCACAATATCAGGGAAGTTTTCTGCCAACAAATCTTCAACAATTCTATTTGTATTTCCTGTTATGCTCTTCTGTTCTGGTACTCCAATCACTCAGAGGTTGTTCCTCTTATAGAGAGTCCCACATAATTCTTTAGTTTCTTCATTTTTTAAAATCTTTTTATCTGATTTTTCCTCAAATAAGTTCGTATCAAGTGCTTTAACTTCAATCTCACTAATTCTGACTTCCATTGCCTCAATTCTGCTTCTATAACTTTCTATTGAGTTGTCTAATTCTGAAATTTTATTGTTAATCTTCTGGATTTCTGTTTGCTGTCTTCTATGGATTCTTGCAGCCTGTTAAATTTGTCATTGTGCTCTTCCATAATCTTCTCAAGTTCCTCTCTTGCTTTGTCTGTGTGTTCCTTGGCTTGTTCTGTGTTTTGCCTGATCTCCTTAAGAGTTTTTTATATTAATGTTTTGTATTCTACCTCTGGTAATTCCAAGAAGTTCTCTTCCTTTGGAAAATTTCTTGATTCTTTGTTTTGGGAGCTTGCTGAAGTGACAATGGTCTGCCACTTTATGTGATTTGATATTGACTGTTGTCTCCAAGCCATCAGTAAGTTATTCTATTTATTTTATGTTTGCTTACTGTGTCCTAGCTTCTTGTTTTGTTTTGATATGCCCAAATAGGCTGCTCGTGTGAGCTAGTTTGATTATTGGTGCCTCTGAACCTCTAATATCCTCTCACCAGGTGGTTAGATCTGTTACTAGGTATGTGAGCCCAGGAGTCCATTTACTTTTCTTGTATGGATTCAGCTTAGGTGTCCAGGTAGTCAGTCACCAAGTGTGTGGTGCAGGCTCTCACCTACAGTCCTATACTGGCAAGGGTGACTGGAGTAGGTACAAGTATCTGGCTGCAGTAGGGGGTCATGTGCTGAGCAAAGCAGGGGGCTGAGGGCTGCCCCTGAGTTTCTGGGAGGAGTGTGTCCCTATTCCCTACAATGTGTAGTTGGGTGGGTTTTGCAGCTGGACTATAGGCACCCAATGCTGTTGACTGTAAGGACTGGGAGGCACCACTTATTCTTGGACCCCTATCGCAGGTGGCAAGGTGGCATCGGTGAAGCCACCAGTCCTCAGGCCTCTGATATGGGTAGGTGAGGACCTTACTTAATGGGCAGAGTGGTATCAAATGTCACAAACCTGGCTCTCCACTATACAGCTGATACAGTGAAGTTAGCCTTCAGGTATATACCCTGCTATACTTTGCTAATGAGGGCCTGCGCTGTTGAAACGGGCCCACACAGGTCTATGCAGGGGTGAAAGGCATTCAAAGCCCGTGGACCCCTTATGCCTCTGTCTAGGCCAAGGAGCTATGCCTGCCCTGAGTTCCCAGCTTAAGGGAGCTGGCAGATTATTTTTTCCTGTTTGTTAATTTGTTCCCTCTCCAAGGCTGGGAGAATGGCTCAGAGCATGTGACAGGTCCTACTTCTGGCCCGGGGATGTGGCAATCACTGAAGCTGGCTCACGACCTGATGCAGAACAGGGAGGGACCAGGTACACAGGAGAGAGGTTCTACCCAAAGAGGGTGGTTTTTGAGCTGCAGGGTAGGTTAAACACACATGCTTATCTTTTGCCGATTGAGTGCCACTTTTCACTGGCTCTGGAACCCTGAACAGAATCTCCACCACTCGGTCTTTCCAGATCCTGAACACCACTGCTTGCCTCTCCATGCACACCAGCCAATCTGGTCCGCAGGCCACCGGCTCCCACCGGGTCAGGTCTGGCAACTCCCTGCTGCTTCTAAACCATCCCTCCCTTCCCCTCCTACTCAATCCAATTCCTCAACTTTTCCTTTGATGTTCAGGGCTCCTAGATTGTCATATGTAATCAATTCACTTGTTTTTTCAGGTCTTTCTGGTAAGAGGGACCACTGGAAGCATCTGACTACTCTACCATGTTGGCCCCGCCTTTTTTTTTTTAAATAATAACAACTGCCCATATGGCACAGACACAGTCAATAATGAACTCAAACAAAACTAACAGAAAAGTCCCCAGAAAACCAAACAATAGTTTAGCTTAACAAGTAAAAATGTCTGCTTTTAGTATTAGGCTCTTTTAAGAACTATCTATATGAGATCAAATTGACAACAACTTGAAAGATTAGACTGGAACCTCAGGGGACAGTGAGTTTATGTTAATGAGGGAGGAACAACTCAGAAAAGGAGGGTAAGAATGGCTGCACAGCTCGAAGAATGTAATCAGTGTCACTAAATTGTACATGTAGAAACTGTTGAATTGGTGTATATTTTGCTGTATATATTCTCAGCAACAACACCAAATTTTTTAAAAGAACTCAGAAAACAGCTCCTTAGAGTTTTTAACACAAAATTCAGAATTCAATTGCAAAAAAAGAAAAAAAGTTGGGGTGGGGTAGTGGAATTAATAATGCATAAATAGAAAGAGTAGCAAGAAGAAAAGGCTTGTATAATCTTAATAAAGCACAACCCTGCTGAGTACTTAAAACTATGGCAATAACCAAGGGAAGACTGGCTACAAACATTCCGTTAGCTCAAACAAGGCACCAACTAGGACTAACAGAGGCAGGAAGGTAGAGATAAGTTGATATAAGACAGAAACCAACCTCATCCATTGTTGACTTTTTTGTTTAACAAAAAAGAAGCTTTACTGTTTTCAAGTCAGCCCTACCTACCTTGCTTAATGATACAGTAATAAACCATATTTAGTACATGAGTTACTATCATAAATGGACACTTGTAAAGTGCTAACAAACATTCTCTGAAACAGTATGACAAAGATTTTCCTAACTTTGGTTATAGTCTTAGCCAGGACAAAAATCTCTAAATAATACAAAATGAAACTAAAATATAAGTCAGCCTATATGCGATCTATCACAATTCTTCAATCACTAGACTATGGCTGAATGACGCTCTATTAAGTTAAAGAAAAGAACAGCTGATTTGTGTCATCTGATTGAGATAGCCAATAATATCATCAACATACATTCTTGGTGGACCCCAGTGGCTGAAGTTGGGAGTTTCCTCTCCTTCACCTTCTTCTCTCTCAGGTAACTCACTGAGGAAGAAGAAAGAAAAAAGCATACATAGAACCCATAAGCCACATTCTTATTATTAAAGCTTCTTGGAAAGTTTTGAAATTGCACAATCTATACATAGTTAAACAGTTCTTAATTTTAAGCAGTTTCAATATTTACATGAATAAATAGCTAAGTGTGCATATAAAGCAAAAATATATTGCTTTAATGTTTAACTCAACAAATACCCACTTAGCAGCAGAAAATCATAGACTTATAATGAGTACTTTTGTTGGTATTTTCTAAAAATTTGTGTTTGATTTGTACAATTTCACATTTGTTTCTCTATTAATAAAAAATCTTATAAAATATATTCATTAAAATTTGGTATGAAATGATCAGTAAACAGAACAGTCTGTATAAGCCAACATAAACAGGTGAAATGGCTAAACAGTCAATAACCACGATCCATCTCGCTACATTTTTCTGTCACTCTTACCCCAAATAATTTGCCTATCATTTGTATTCCATGAATATTTTGTGTAGTTGTACAGCACTTTACAGTTTAGAGAGCTTTCACTTATATTACTTAATTTATTCTCACCTCCTCCCACCAACCACCATCACATTTTCGCCCATCAAGTTATATTAGTATGAAAATGCTTAACCGTATAACATAAAATGCTGAATTACAGGGTAGTTAGTTATAAGAGTAATACTATTTAATAGCGTATAGACTTTAGCATATATTATCTGGAATAGGAATCAGGAGTCCTAAACTCAAGTCTAACTTGCACTATGAAATAAGTATGTGACTTTAGACTATTAAACAATGTCTGATGCTGTAAACTGTAACAGTCTATAAAAAAATGTAGGCACTACCTCTTCCATTTCATCTTCACAAAAATCCTGTGAAATAAGCACAGCAAGTCATATTATTATGCTTTATACATGAGGAACTGAGACTTAGACAAGGCTCAGACATACCATACAACCTCACAACCTCTCCACCTATATCCAAAACTTTGCTTCAACACTGAGTTTCACTGCTTCGTTTTCTCTGAACTTTCAAATAATGACTGTAAAAAGTGGCAAAACTTCATCTACTTGCTACTTTACATACTTTCTAGGATATAATGGTCTTAAGGCCATATGAAAAGAAAATAAACGGAAAGGATCTAGACAATTAAAAAATCAGTTAAGAAATTGGGATCATTAACATCTCACCCACTACCAGATGGCTTTCTCACCTTATCCAATCTAATTTTAATGATTAAAAGCATCACAACATTCATGGAAAAACAATTTGGCATACAGTTGCTCGTTATTTACCTCATGTCCTTTCTCTCGTTCTTCCTTATCAATACAACCCCTTTTTTATTCCAGGTGGCACAATGCCTAGCTTCAAAAAAAAATACTTTTTCTGGATTTCCTTTTGGCTAAGGGTAACTGGAGGAGAGCTGGTGGTAGAGTGGTTAAAGTACTTAGCTGCTAAGCAAAAGGTCAGTGGTTTGAACCCACCAGCCACTCCATGGGAGAAAGATGTGGTAGTCTGCTTCCGTAAAGATCTACAGCCTTGGAAACCCTATGGTGCCTTTCTACTCTGTCCTATAGGGTTGTTATAAGTTGGAATACACTCAACGGCAGTGGGTTTGGTTTTTGGTAAGGGTAACTGCATGCCACAGTTCTGATCAGTGATATGGAAGCAAAAGTCCTTCAGTGAGGTATCAGGAAAACACATTAAATGGAGGGAGAGTCAGCTGACACGAACCTTTTGCTCTATGCCACTCCCCCCTCTTATTCCCTGGAATGCATAAGTGATATTGGTGGCGAAGCATCCATCGTAAAATCATGAAGAAACCATGAGGACTAAAACCATATGTTACATAAGAACAGCACAGCAGAAGATATCAAGGTCCTCGATGACAGCAACATCATACCATCCGACGGCTACCCTCCTCAAGACTTTTTATATGAAAAAAATTAAGCCTCTGTTTGGTTATTCCATATGAAGTGGGCCTTCTATTTATAAGGAGCTGAGTGCAACTCTTAAATGATACACCCATGATTCCACCAGTTTAAGTAACTGCCTTCACTTTTTCCTATTACTTTATCGTTCTGTGTGCATGCACATATTATACATATCCATTGAATAGTTGTAATCATAGCACAAACTTTCATATTTTGATTATCCTATGCAATGGTAACGAGGATTAAAAGAGACATGACTGGCATTTAACTGAGGTTTAACCAATATTGCTTTCCTTTACAATTTCTCTCACTTGAAGTTGTATCAGTATTTTTCCACAAATCATCATCTTCATTATAGGTAGTCCCTGACTTATGACATATTCGAGTTACAAGAAATTACACTTATGACCATCTGTTTGGTTTTTTTTTAACATCTTTTCGTTAGTAATATGTATGTATGTATTAAAACGTATCTGTAAGTTCATACGTAATGTTTCCAACCCCCAAAGACAAATAAAGGGCAGATTTACAAAGATATTGATAATAAAAGGCAATAATAATGGGGGAAAAAAACGATATTTGGCTTACATCACAACTGACTTAACACAGAGTCATCCAAACGGAATAAGTCAGGGACTACCTGTGTTTTTTATTTAATAGAATCAATCTTAATGCTTGTTGACGTAATTTAATTCATCTGCTATCCAATATATGGGGCACTTAGATTATATCTTCCTTTCTGGAATATTGACATTACTGCAAGGAATATCTTCATGCTATACTGCATTTAAAGTTCTCCTTTAAATAAAGTATAATTGGAGCAAGATTGAAAATTAAAAATAAAAACCAGCACTGAAACTTTCTTCCTCTCCATTTTCTACTCTCCTGCATACTGAATCATGGCAGACATTGAGTGAAAAAAAAACACATGTCTTTTTATTTTTAATTGTGCCACATTTATACTTTTTACATGAAAAAATTAGGAATTAAATTCTTCAATTAAAGAAAAAAATATTTCATATTTCCTAAACTGCTGGTTCTTACATACAACTTAAGGAAAAAATATATTATCACTGTCTAGATTATGGAAAAGGAGTTCTGAGTGGCACAAACTTTTAAACACAATATTATTAACCAAAAGGTTGGCAGTTTGAACCCACCCAGAGGTGCCTCAAAAGAAAGGCCTGGCAATCTGCTTCTTAAAAGTCACAGCCTTGAAAACCCTATAGAATGCAGTTCTATTCTACAACACATGGAGTCATCACGAATTGGAATTGATTCGACAGCAGCCGTTTTGGATTTTAGGTAAGAATATGGAAAACTTTAGTTTTCTTTGATAAAGTGTGTAAGAAAAGGATTATTCTTCTCTTTAAAGAAACTCACTGATATTCTTATAGCATATTATCTTTCTTCAGGTAGTTGATATATCCATATTTTATTCAGACTGTTTCATACCCAAGATATATAAAACTTGCTAAAGCTTAGTCAGATAGTGTGATTATTTTTGGAAATATAGTCATAGGTAATAAGTACCTATACAAACTAATGTAGTCACTTTATATTGATAAATGCATATACCTTTTAAAAAATGCATTACCATCGAGTCGATTCTAATTTATAGCAGCCCTATACCTTTTAAACCAAATTAAAATTTAACTGAGAAAGTAAAATACTATTTACTGTATACATTAAGATATACATTTGTATATACATATTTGAAACTTCAACAAGGGATTTCTAAACTCAAATTTGATACTCTGCACAGTGATCAATCATGGCTAATAACTCAATCAGTCAGAATCTTAAATTTTAAAGTAACTGAATTTATGCCTCTTACATTCGACCAGAGTTTTAAAACAAGTTTTTTTTCTTAAAGGAATGGACCATCCACTAGAAACTGTACTTTTTATTTCAGTCTTTTAAAACAAATGCCCAAAGTTATCACTCTCTATATCTCTGGGAAGAAATATGGAGTGCCCCATTAGTAAACAAGCAGATATTAATAGTAAGACTTGATCATGGTGTAGAATTTTTTCAACATCTTACAAAAACCAGATGAATCCAGATTAACCAAGATGACTTTTCCTTTTCAATAGTACTTTTTTATATATACAAGTTGTCCTTCCATATCTGAGGGGAATTAGTTCCAGGACCCCAGCGGATACCAAAATCCGCAGATGCTCAAGTCCCTTATATAAAATGGCGCAGTATTTACATATACCTACTGTATACTTTAAATCATCTCTAGATTACTTATAACACCTAATATAATGTAAATGCTACAGAAATAGTTGTTATACCATATTGTTTAGGGAATAATGACAAGCCTCGAGGTGAACAATGCTCACACAAGGAGTGCTGAAGAGAGACTGAGGATCTGTGAAATGGCGGGAGGCCACAGCAGCGAATGCCTACACATCACTTCCTTCACGTGGATGCAGTGTAGTACTTGAGGTACAGCAATTCAAGTTTTGCTTTTTGGAACTTTCTTTGTTTTCTTCCCCCCCACCCCCCTGAATATTTTCGATCTCCGGTTGGATGAATCCATCTATAAGGAACCCACAGATACAGAGGGCCGACTGCATATAAAATTTCCACCTACTAAGCCATGTGAGAGTCAAGTAAACTAAGCACCCTAAAATAATAAAAGAAGAGCTCTGGTTCTAAGTTTTCTTAAGATTTCTTTTTGCTCTTTAAATTTAGACTCTATATAGCAACTGTGATACACCACAGGGAGCATGTGTGTTCTATACCAGCGAGAACAGGCACTGGTGTTTTCCTAACTAGTACAGTTCCTTATACAGATGTTAAAGTATGATTTTGAAGTTACAAAGCAAATTATTACCTGGCACCAGCCAAGGAAAAAAATTAGGCATTCCCTTACACTAAAGTTTAAAACGACACAGACACTGTGTTGAGCAAAAGAAACCAGACACACAAAAGTAAATACTGTGTAATACCATTTATATGAGTTTAAGAACAGGAATAACTAATTTACAGTGTTAGAAATTAGATTAATGATTGTCTGCGGTGATACACTGCAAAAGGGGCAGGAAGGAAGTTTCTGGGGTGATAGAAATGTTTAATATCTTGATTAGGGTGTTGGTAACAAATGTATACATTTATCAAAACTCAGCAAACTGTACCTTAAAATTTGTTCATGTTACTATACATAAATTATACTTCAATAAAGTTGAGGTATAACACTTGCGTTAAAAAATTTTGCTAAGAAACAAAAATTCAAGTCATAAAGGGTAAATTGCTCCCTCAGGTCAACTTTGAAAATGAAAGGACATGATTAATTTACTTTTCAAGTGGAATTTCTTTACAGGAGCCAGGTGATCAGGTCATGTGTCAGAAAGGCAGGACTCAGAAAATAAGGAAGTTTAGAGGAAGGAGGAGAGAACTCGGCCTCACTCTGGAGGTCGTTTTATACAGAGATTTTTCTAATTCCATTACTTATTTTGTCAGCACTCGTTCGACAAGCTTTCATATTTATGGTCATATCATTTGCACATGAATATTCAAAGTGTGACCTTCACTAGGACATCTTTCCACAAGATGTAAAAAATACTATTACTTTCCTTTTGGCCTTCTGAGGGCCTGGATTAGTAAACAAGGACCTAATTATATTTTCAAAGGTATTAGCACACTGCTATTTGGACTTCTTGTTCTAATTTTTCACACTTGTCTTCACCTGCCGTGTGGACTGCAGCTGAAACAGCACTGTAAATGTGTAAAGTGTCACGTACTTGAGGTTATAACCTCCCTGGAAACTTCACCTTTTTCCTCCCAACTTGGACATTCCAGAACAGCCCTCTCTCAAACACACATTTTTATTCTTTGCCCCTTATTCACAGCCTCCTTCCCATGTCCTAAATTTACACATAAGTTTTGTCAGTTTAAATCAAAGGTAAATCTATTAAATATCCACCATCTACTCAGAAGCCATTAAATGCCAGGCACTGTGATGGGGGCGTAAAATACAACACTAACTCATTTAATCCTTGCAACAAACATGGGGAGCTATTATCAATCCCATTTTAAAAAAGAGAAAAATGAGGCTCAAAAAAAAAAAAAAATACTAAGTGACTTTTACAAAGTCACACAGTAAACAGAGAAGACAATATTTAAACTGGGATCTGTTGACCTGGAGGCCATGGGTTTTATATTATACCACAATGCTCGCCCCAACTATGGCACAATTTCTCCTGTTTCACCTCCTGCTAGTGTTAACAAAGCATCCAATCCTAGAAGCATTTCTTTTTGTTTACATCCTTTTATAACTACAACATGAGTTTTTTCTATTTTAAATACAAGTCTTTCATCTCGAGTTCATCCTCTTCCTGGACTTTAGCCTCCTGACACCTTGTTTTACTTAGTGTGACTGGACCCTATTTTATTACTTTGTAAAAAGGAATCTGCAACCTCCTTGAATGTTTTTATAAACTAAGAAACAATCACTACCACCCTGGGAACACCTCAGGGCCCAAGAGCTTGTTGTTGCCTTTGCTACAACCATCACTGCCAACCTTTTATTAAACGTCTACTACATGCAAGGCAACGTATTAAGTGCTTTATAAAAGCTCTTAACCTGGAGAACTCCCTTGTTTACAGGGTCACATAGCTATAAACAGCAGAGCAAAGATTTGAACAGTGCCCACTCTCTCTATTCTATAAACATCCTATTAGTTTGAAAAACATCCACATCCCCTGCCATGAGCACCCACACCTCTTTTGACAGCAGGTGTTGACAGAGATGAGGGAGAAGCAAGCAAGCAAGCCGGTGAGTTCTAAAAAAAAATAATCTCAACTGACCTTATAAAGGGAAGAGCAGCAGAAGGACACTGGGAACAAGATCACCTGGATTCTTTCAACAGTATCATACCCTGCCTGCCCACATTCCTCTTTCTAGAGATCTCCACTTTCAAGGTACATTGACCTCTTACCACCAGTCCTGCTCCAAAGATAAGGGGTAGTCGGCTTAACATAAAACCATACTCTGCAGCCATTAAATACTTATCCTTGGCACATACATATATACATACCTCTGTTGGGTACTACACAAAAATTAACACAAAGAAGAAACTCTACAATATCATTTAACACTACATTACACCCTGATGATTTAAAGACTATCTTCCAAAATAATCTATGCATTTCTCAGAGAGACTTCTTAATGTGCAGTAACTATTCACCTATGAACGTATCTCCATGGGGCATACCCTGAAAGGATTGCAACGGGGAATCTTATTTGCAGAAACTCTTCTGGAACCTGCTGAGACTTAAATATATTCTAAATCTCAGACAGCAAGCTTAAAAAGCAACTTTCAAATACAAGACTGATCTCTCAAGACAAAGGTGAGCTTGTAGCCCTTAACTGCCTATGTCTGCATAAGCAAATCAGCTTGTCAAAGTGCTCACTTTGGAGAAAAAGCAATGGGATGGGAAAAATGCATACCTTTCCTCTCTGAAGTGGGAAGAATTGAGTAAAACACAACCAGTGTTCCACTTTCACTTCTGCACAAGGAAGCAAGGGTAGGCTTGGAAATTTGTTTAGATCCTTTCCAATTCTACAGTTATAATTCTCTAGCTTTAGAGAAGCTCCTCCATTTCTGAAGTCGTCTGCCAGATTCAACTGTTACTACTACACACAAAAGAAATTTTTTTTAATGAAGGTGTCTCATTTGGAAAGTAATTTGACTACATAAAAAGTTATAACTCTTCCAGCACTCCCATTTCCAGGCATCTCTCCTAAGGAAACAAATCCATTGCTTATTTAACACTCTGCATTCCTCTGGGGGCTGCGTGTGGCAATCTGGAGATTATCTGTGAGCACAAATTTCTCACACCAGGACACCAGGCCTGTGTGCACCTCCCATCTGCAAGTTAGCTCCCCAGCTCTGCTAAGTGAAACAGTCACCAGATTCCTCCAAGTAGATGGACCTGTGTCTTTCTTCTCCACTCAGAGATGAGCTAAACAGTGGCACAGAGAACTTTTTATGATGTTTCTACACAAAACTCTGAGCAAAGGTCACAGCTTGCTGAGCAGAAGTGCATATCATCTAAGACACCTCATATGTCAACATAAAACCATACCTGGGCTAAAGGTCTTAATAAAACATCATGGCCAATGAATCCCACCCTCTCTCTCACCCCGGTTATGCTTTGCCAATACCACCAACCCCTTTGTTCACCTCTAGTCTCCCTTACTCTCAATGCTACACCACTGTGGTTTTTCCTTCAGATGTGCTTCTCTTCCCATACCCCACCCCCAAGGCCAAACTATCCATCACACTTCATTGAATCTCCTTGAACTGTAAACAAACTACTCCATACCCTAACCTCCTCACTGAATGTTCTCTCAACCTCTTCAATAGCTTTTAGTTTTCTGCCAAGAACACCACACTCAAGTGGGTAACTTTCACTCTCTCCCCCTGGGGAGTAGTTGGAAAAAAGGGGTACTTTTCTAAATTCTTTCCTACCACTAGGTCATTACTCTTCTACTATTTTACAGCTAATTTCTATTCCTACACATCACATCTTAGCCCTCACTTTACTAGCCGGTGATCTTAGCAAATGACCTTTCCCTCAAATGACAGGAAAAAAAAAAAAAAATCAAGGTCATTGGACAAGAATTCCCTTGAATTCCTGCCCCCAAGCTGCAAAAAAAAAAGCTGCATCTGTACCCTTTCTTTTATTCCTGGAACCTTAGAGGAAGAGGTGAACTTCCTCCTTATCAAACGTTCAAAGGTTAATCTTGGTAGATGTGCAGTGTCCTCTCCCTTCACCATCTCCAGGGACTATGTTTAATTCATTCCCTTTCTAGCATTTACATATTCCTCTTCTGGATCTTCCCTATAAGCAAATAAAATTTTTTCAAGTTTCCTTTTTACATATATATGTAGATTTTATACATATGTGTGTGTGTGTTTGTGTATATACGTATATATGCATGCACACATATATCTGTATATAAACAGACAGACAGATATCCCCTCTCCTTTCTCCAGTACCCTCCAGTTAGAGACAACAAGCATTATATTAGCGTCTTTTCAGAGCCAGGACTCTCAAAACACTAGTCTGCTCTTACAACAAGCAATTTTTGACATTCTGTTCAATTCTCAACCCCCTACTCTTTGATTTCCACTCTAATGAAACTGTTCTATGCTTACCAAGGGCATCCATGTAGCCAAGCCCAGTGAAGACTTTTCTATTCTTATCTATCTTGACCTTACTGTAACATGTGGCATAGTCCTTGATTCTTTGTTAAAACAGTCTCTTCCCTTGGTTTTTATGTTGACCTCTAGTTCTTCAATTTCTTTCTACCTTTTGTTCATTCTTCCTCACTCTTTTCTTCCTGCATTCATGCCTTATATATTGCTGCTTTGCAGGATTTCAATCTTGGCCCAGTGCTCTTTTTATTCTTTGCACTTCCCCTGGATGACTGTATTCAAATCCAGGATTTCCACCCATACCTGATTTGCTCCCAATTGTCCATGTCAAAACAGACTTCAATATTAACCCCGACCCACATATCTGTTGATTTCATTAAGTTGTCCTACAGATAGTTCAGCCCTCAATGTGTGCAAAACTGATGTCACAATTTACACTTCCAAACTATTCATGCTCCTATTATCTTATGTTGAAGAATTAACAGTCCATTATCTATCTTGTTTCCCAAACTAGAAACAGCAGTCATCCTCAACTACTCCTACTCACTCACAACATCTAATCATTCACCAGCTCCTACAGACTCTCTAACGCTCAAATCTATGCTCTCCTTTATTTTTCCCCAAATGCTTCTTGCCTAGATTGTTAAACTCTTAATTAATCTCGCATTCTGTAAGAAAATATTCTCTGTAATCCACTTTGCACACACAAATTTGTATATATACTATAATTTGGGGTATGTGAAATTATCATAGCAATTATCTAGTATAGTAGACTGTAGTCATAATATTTTTCTATATTTTCCAAATGATCGACCATAATAACGCATTTTTTTTCCTTAGAAGGAAAAAAAAAACTATTTTATGATGTGAAAACAAAAGAGAAATGATACCATACCATGGATTAGTGGCATATCTAGGAGACAACATTCCTGTGTATGTTGAGGCTTTTGAAACAACTTGGGTCCTGGGGAGTTGGTATAAAGGCAATTCTTCTTGATCCCTTCTGTGAGCCGCAGCAGGAAGGTCAACTAGCAAGCCAGGCCCTTGAACATCATTCGGAATCATCGTTTCTGAAGAGCAAACCCAGATTACATTGAATACAAAATGCATTAATTCCTCCATCTTTCATTCAACAAATAGTTACGTGCACCTACTATGGGCAGGCTCCCTTCCAGGTGGGAGACTGATAATGTTAAAGTAAATAGGCAAAACATGTACTGTGTTAGATGATGATAAATGATATGGTGAAAAACAAAGCAAGAAGGAGTGACAAGGAGTGCTCAGTAGAGGAGGGCTGCAATTTTAAATATGGCCTCACTGAAAAGATGACAATTGAGCACTATGAATATTTTATTTTTTAAAAAAAACTTAATGATGGCATTCTAGTCTTATTACAAATGTTCCTTTATCAGTCGATTTAAAAATAAAAAATTCTACACAATAACAAATAACCAAATAAAAACACTTACCTTTTAAAAAGGTCTTTGTTTATAAATTACAAAATTATCTTACATTTTGTTACTCCGTTTAATTGTCATGTCAACCTTTCAGTTAGAGAGAAATGATACTATCAACCATATTTTATAGATAGGTAAACTCAGGTTAAGTAACTTGCTAATTTTTACCCAGATTGCCATTGTTTATTTAAATATTTACAACAAACCTTCTGCCAAATTCTTATTTTGATTCCCACTTAGGAGGGTTCACAAAATAAACTCGAGAAGCATGTGGGGAAAAAAAAAACAACTTTGGTGTTTACTTCTTACATTCTTTTCTAGTCTTAAGGCAGCATACTTAGACAATTACCATATTAATTGAAAAAAATTAAAGAAGGTATTATTTTCTCCTTACATTTGATACAAAAAATTAGGACAACTTCTCCATTCTCACCATAATAGGTTATTTTCTGATGCTTAAACATGTTAAAGAATTTCACAGTTCCCTTTCTTTCCAGCGGTGTTATCTACCTGGGATGCTTACCCGAACAACCTTTTTCTGACCCAGCAAAGTCTACTTTCTTCTTGATAGGTTCAGTTTACCTGTCACTTTTTCTCTAAAAACTTCCTATATTCTCTCAAGGACTTATATTTTTTCATACAACATTATTTATAAAAATGCATTCATTTTTGTAGCTATTCCACCATATTAGAATGTGAGCTCTTTCAGGGTGAGGATTATGCATACCTCACCTTTGTGCTGTGACCTCTAGAGAGCAGGATGGAGTGGAGATGGGAGATAGGGATTGGGGAGTTTTAGTTTATATATTTTATATATTTTTGTACTTTTGAAATTCTTATAATGAGCACTTATGACTTATATAATAAAACCTAAAATATATCTTTTAAACATATACAAAGCTCCAAAAAGAACAGACAAATCATTTATGAGTAATTTTTTAAAAAAATTATTCAAACAGTGAAGATGAGGCAAACATTCTTCATTCTCATGTAAATTCTAAATATACTAATGAAAACAGCTGGAACATAAAACGTTTGACCAGACCTCTATTTCCTCAAATATAAAACACAGGGACTAGACAAGATTGCCATAGTTACCTTTAAGAGTTGGTGCCTGCTTTGTAATTTACTCGTTTGTTTTAGTCAGTTATAATACTCTCATTTTAAGTCTCCTAGTAACTGTGGTAGTGTGAATAATGGCTCCCTAAAATGTCCAGAATCTAATCTGTGGGATCTATAACTGTTACCTTATATGGTAACAGAGACTTTGCAGATGTGGCTAATTAAGTATTGGGAGATTACCCAGGTGGACCCTAAATGTAATCACAAATGTCCTTATAAAAGGGAAGCAGAGACAAGAGGAAAATATGATGTGAAGGCTGAGCAGAGAGATATGAAGATGCTACACTGACGGCTTTGAAGATGGAGGAATGAACCGAGAAATAAAAGGAATGTAGCTCTAGAAGTAGGAAAAGGCAAGGAAACCAATTCTTTTTTAGAGACTCCTCAGGGGACACAATCCTTGATTTCAGGCCAGTAAAACTGATTTTCGATATCTGACCTCCAGAACTATAGAAGAATAAATGTGTGTTGTTTAAGTCACCAAGTTTATGGTATTTTGTTAAGCAGCCATAGGAAACTAATACAGTAGGGAGCTGCTGTAATAAATGTTTCAAAATGTTGGAAAGGCTTTGGAATTGGGTAATGGGTACAGGCTGAAAGAATTTTGAAGAGCATGATAGAAAAAGCCTGGATTGCCTTAAACAGAATGTTAGTACAAATATGGATGTTGAAGACACTGCTGGTGAGGGCTCAGAAAGAAGTGAGGAACACATTATTGAAAACTGGAGGGAAGGGGATCCTCTGTTACATACTGGTAGAGAGCTTAGCTGAATTGTGTTCTACAGTTATGAGCAAAGCAGAGCTTGTAAATGATGAACTTGGGTATTTAGTGGAGGCTACTTCCAAGTAAAGTGTTGAAGGCATAGCTTGGTATCTTTACACTGCTTTTAATAAAATGCAAGAGGAAAGAGATAAACTGAGGGAAGAACTATTAAACAAAAAGGAGACAGAACTTGATATTTTGGGAATGGAGGTAGTCCCCAACTTACAACGGGCTTCTATTCCAACGACTTTGACGTTAAGTCAGTTCTGATGTAAGTTGAATACTTCCTTTTTTTTTTTTTTTAAGTTTTCATTATTTTTGACTTTTATTATCAGTATCTTTATGAATCCAATCTTTATTTGACTTTGGGGGTTGGAAACATTACATATAAACATCTGGGAGTGAACATCTGAGAATGATAACATCAGCAAATTACAAGCTATAACTTTGTATGGAATACATTATTACTAACAATAAGATGTACCAAAAAAGAAAAAAACAGATGGTCATTAAGTGTAGTTCATCCTAACTCAAGTATGTCATAAATTGGGGACTACCTGTATACAGATTGAAAACATGCTAAAATTAGACAAACTGTATGCTCTGGTGAAAAAAACAAGGGTGAGGCTATACAACCTTTTACTAATGCCTTGAAAGGATCAAAAGTTGAGGGTGTTCAATCACACAGCGGGTTCTATGAAGAAATGAAGCACGTGGCTCACAAATTCCCTTAACCATCTCAACAGAAGCCAGGAAAAGAAGACGGAATTATGCAGGAGAAGTCTGTGGAGGACCCTCTTACCTAATGATGTGAATCCTTGTGGTACCTATGGGAGACCCACAAGGTTTTTAAGAATGTTACATCAGCAGAACACTGTCAGCTTGGACTAAAGGGGACAGAGATAGGATGAAATGAAGGAAGGTTGTCAGACTCCCAAAATACTATGTGCAGGAAACAGGCTGGTAAGAATACTCAGCAAACATGTGCTACCTTTCAAAGAAAGGACGACTGTAAGGGAAGAACATTGGACCCACACACCAGAGCCTCAAGCCACAGAGGATTATTCCCAGGACTTAAAACATAACGGAGCTTGCCCAGTTTGATTTAGAAATTGCTTGAGGGCTAGTGAATTCTATCTTCTTCCATTTTCTCCTTTTTGGAATGTGAATGTCTATTACCATTATACAATGCCATCCCACCACTGTATTGGGAGCAGAAGACTTGTTTACTACTTTCACAAGTACACAGATAAAGAGGAATTTTGCCCCAGGTAGGATCATACCCAGAGTCTCATCCATACCTGATTTAGATAATGAGATTTAGGATTTTTGAGCTGAAGCAATTTAGATAAGATTTTAGATTTAAATTGATGATATAATGGGTTGAGACTTTGGGGGATGTTGAGATAGGTTAAATATATTTTATACATGAAATAGATATAAATCTTTTGAGACAAGATACATTGGTAAAAGCAGCCTGTTAAACACAACATTGGGTTTCACAGGTTGCTAGAGTTTGTTCAAACGTTTCATTACCTGCCCCACACAAAGAATGCCCATTGCCTTCTTCATGGACCCATGTCCATGCTCAGGCACACATTTCTCATCCCCCACAGTGCCTGAACACAGTTACACTTTACAGAGCTGTTCAGTAAGCACAACACACTACCCGGGAGACCAGAAAACAAATCAAGTCCTGGAATATCTCTGCAGTTATTAGGCAGTGATCATAAGAAAGACACAGAGAGAACAGAAAACAATTTGTAGCTGTTGTTAGGAGCCATCGAGTTGGTTCTAACTCATAGTGACCCTATGTACAACAGAACAAAACACTGCCTGGTCCTGCACTATCCTCACAATCGTTGCTATGTTTGAGCCCATTGTTGCAGCCACTGTGTCAATTCACCTCGATAAGGGTCTTCCTCTTTTTTTCTGACCCTCTACTTTACCAAGCAGGACGTCCTTCTCCAGGGATTGGTCCCTCCTGATAACATGTCCAAATTACCTGAGACAAAGTCTCGCCATCCTCCCTTCTAAGGAGTATTCTGACTGTACTTCTTCCAAAATAGATTTGTTCGTTCTTCTGTCAATCTGTGGTATATTCAAGATTCTTTGCCAATACCATAATTGTCAGTCTTTCTTATTCATTATCCAGCTTTCACGGGCATGTGAGGTGACTGAAAATACCATGGCTTGGGTAAGGTGCACCTTAGTCCTTAAAGTGACATCTTTGCTTTTTAACACTTGAAAGAAGCCTTTTGCAGCAGATTTGCCCAATGCAATACGTCATTAGATTGCTTGACTGCTGCTTCCATGGGTGTTAACTGTGGATGTAAGTAAAATGAAATTGACAACTTCAATATTTTCTCTGTTTATCACGATGTTGCTTATTGATCCAGTTGTGAGGATTTGTGTCTTCTTTATGTTGAGATGTAATACATACTGAAGCCTGTAGTCTTTGATCTTCATCAGTAAGTGCTTTGAGTTCTTTTAGGTTTCAGTCAGCAAAAATGTGCTATCTGCATATCGCAGGTTATTAATGAGTCTTCCTCCAATCCTGATGCCATGCAGTTCTTCTTATAGTCCATCTTCTCAGATTATTTGATCAGCATACAGATTGAATGAGTATGGGGAAAGGATACAACACTGACCCACAACTTTCCTGATTTTAAACCATGCAGTATCCCCTTGTTATGTAGAATGATTGCCTCTTGGTCTGTGTATAGATTCCGCATGAGCACAATTCCCATTCTTCACAATGTTATCCATAATTTGTTATGATCCACACAATCGAATGCCTTTGCACAGTTAATGAAACACAGGTTAACGTCTTTTTGGTATTCTCTGCTTTCAGCAAAGATCCATCTGACATCAGCAATGATGTCCCTCGTTTCACGGTCTATTCTGAATCCGGATTGAATTTCTGGCAGTTCCCTGTCGATGTACTGCACAATCGCTTTTGAAAGATTTTCAGCAAAATTTTACTTGTGTGTGATATTAATGATATTGTTCAATAACTTCCACACTCTGTTGAATCACTTTTCTTTGGAATGGGTGCAAATATGGATCTCTTCTAGTTGGTTGGCCAGGTAACTGTCTTCCAAGTTTCTTGGCATAGATGAGCAAGCACTTCCATTTGTTGAAACATCGCAGTTGATTTAACCAGTTCCTGAATCCTTGTTTTTCACTAATGCCATCAGTGCAGCTTGGACTTCTTCTTCCAATACCATCAGTTCTTGATCATATGGTACCTCCAGAAATGGCTGAACATCAGCCAATCCTTTTTGGTAAAGTGACTCCGTATATTGCTTCCATCTTCTTTTGATGCATCATTCAATATTTTGCCCATAGAATCCTTCAATATTGCAACTTGAAGCTTTAACTTTTACTTCAGTTCTTTCAGCTTGAGAAATGCCAAGTATGTTCTTCCCTTTTGGTTTTCTAACTCCAGGTCTTTGCACATTTCATTATAATACTTTACTCTGTCTTCCCGAGCTCCCCTTTGAAATCTTCCGTTCAGCTCTTCTACTTCATCATTTTTTCCATTTGCTTTAGCTAGTCTACATTCAACAGCAAGCTTCACAGTCTCTTCTGACATTCATTTTTGTCTTTTCTTTCTTTCCTATCTTTTTAATGGCCTTTTGTTTTCTTCGTGTATGATGTCCTTGATGTCATCTCACAACTCATGTGGTCTTCAGTCATTAGTCTTCAATGCATCAAACCTATTCTTGAGATAATCTCTAAATTTAGGTGGGAGATACTCAAGGTCATACTTTGGCTCTTGTGCACTTGTTCTTATTTTCTTCAGCTTTAACTTGAACTTCCATATGAGCAATTTAAACACAAATAGGGACGTTAAAAAAAATGTTCCTTGATAAATGGAAGTTAATGCTTACAGGAAAGGAACGCGGGAAATTCTCAAAGGGTTTATACAAGAATAGAATGTCAAACAAAATAAAGGCAAAACTAATCCACGAAAAGACTGGGTCACACAACTTAGAAACTGGAAAAAAAGTATTAAGTTTATTTGCTGTTGAATAACCATACAGGAGCAGCATATTACTTTCTCATTCAACAAATACTTCTGGAATACCTACTACGAAAACATAACCAGATACAATCCATGCCTTACAGAAGCTTTGTGTACAGTAAGAAGCAGGCATACAAATGAGTACGTGCACATAACTTCTAGGTACAATGACAGAACGTGGTCCAGGGTTCACTGGTGGCACAATTCAGGGAAGATTGGGAACATACTTTCTGTCTATCCTACTTCTAAAATCCTGTAACAGTAAATGTACTACTCATTTGGAATTTATCATGTATGCCTTACATTATTAATTATGCTGATTTATAGATTTAGTTGACTCTCTGAGGAGGCAGCTCTTCCCCAGTTGTGTCTTGAGCACCTTCCAACCTGAGGCGCTCACATTCTGGCACTACCTCAGACAATGTTGCACTGCTATTCATAAGGTCTTCACTGCCCAATTTTTTCAGAAGTAGGCTGCCAGGTCCTTCTTCTTAGTTTGTCTTAGTCTGGAAGCTAGGCTGAAACCTGTCTACCAAGGGTGACCTACTGGAATTTGAAATACCGTGGCAAAGCTTCCAGTATCACAGCAACACACAAGTCACCACAGTACTACCAACTGACAGACACATGTGGTCACAATCAACGACCATGGAACCAGCAGTAAAGAAATCAAAAGATGTATTACGTTAGGAAAATCTGCTGCAAAAGACCTCTTTAAAGTGTTGAAAAGCAAAGAAATCACTTTGAGGACTAAGGTGAGACTGACCCAAGCCATGATATTTTCAGTTGCCTCATATACATGTGAAAAAAATCAGCACAAACAGCAATGATTGTGAGGACAGCACAGGACCTGGCATTATTTCGTACTGTTGTGGGGTTGCTAGGAGTCGGCACTGACTCGACCACACCTAACAACATGGATTTAGTTTAGTGGCCCATGCAGAGTACAAGCTCCTTGAGGATGATACACAATTTTGAATTAAATATAAGGTCAAGAACAGCTCTCTACACACAGGTTCTCGAAAACAATTTTAAAATTTAACTGCTTAACACAGAGAGGGACATGGGACTGAAATAAAGTGTGACCTTTGCTGGACAAAGATCTAAAGAGCAAAATGAAATTCTGAGTAGAACTAACTCAATATGTACATTGCTGAAATCTGTATCAATAATTTTCAGCCCACCCATGCTTAGCACTAATCCACTCAGGCCTGTAACATATTCTGGGGGCTCTCAAAAAATTTCCCTAAAAGCAAACTGTTATGAAGGCTTTTCTACTGAGGACAGGTTTAAGATATAAAAGTTTAGCTTAATTCCAAAAACTATAATCTCTTAAGAATAAATTCCTAGGACCTTAAAAAGTAACAGATTAAGGCATCAGGAAGGTAGAGGAAGTAACTATGGAGTCACTTAGATAATACACAGAGCAAGGCTCACAGGTAGACTAGATCATCCCATGAGAATATCCCTTTATCCATTTTTTTCCCAATGCCACTGCCCATCCCTGCCAACACCTACCCCATATATTTAATCTTTTTCTTTCAGTCCTCATGGTATAAAGCAGTGGCTCTCAATCAGGAGCAATTTTGCCCCCAGGGGGCATTTGGCAATGTCTGGAGACATTTTTGATTGTCATGACATGGAAAAGGGGTACTACTGGCATCTAAGATTAGACACCAAGAATACTGCTAAACATCCTACAATGTACAAGTCAACCTCCCATACCAGAGAATTACTGGGTCAAAAATAGTGCTGAGATTAAGAAAACCGTGCTAAGAAGTATCAATGGCAATCGAATAGATACAGTCTATTCATTCATTCATTCACTTGTGCGGTAAACCTTCTCCAAGTATTCAGCATGTCAGGAAACTATAGAAATGTAACAAATTAAAAACAAAAACAAGTATAAATAAACACGTACACTCGTACTTTCAGTATACCAGGAGTACTGGAAAGTCACAATCTGCTATGCATCATGAAAAACTGGATAGACTCATCTAAGACATTCAAAATGAACTATGCATGCACTGTTTTGACCCCCCAGGGAAACGACAAGTGTTATTATCTAATAGGAACCTTAAATCTTTACCATTAAGGATTCCATTCTTCAGATTTTACTTAATAGAATTCTGAACTCACATCAAACTGCTATATCACTTTCTATACCTCTCTTTCTCCCCTTTCAATGTATTACTATACAACACGAGAAATGCCCACAGAGAAAGGCTTTTCCTATAAGCAGAGTCATAACAGGTGAAGGACAGCATAAATCCTGAACAATGGCTCCATAAATCCCAGTGCTATGAAAGAATTTAACACTCTCACCTAGGAATGTTAATATTGTAACGACATTTGCTATTTTAGTGTTGGATTAAGGAAAATTATTTTTAAAGTCACGCTTTCAGGGATATATAAGAATCGATATTGAGGGAGGGGGTCGGCAGGGAGAGGCACTATACTTTTAGAATTCTTTAATGGAAACTAAGTTATTAATGTACCAAAATTGACTGTAATATATGACTATAAAAACGTTTCATAAATGTTTAAAATATGCCTCTTTATTAATATTTAACAGCCCCATTCAAGGAGCTAACAGTATCACTTAATAGCATCAGAGATTTATTTCAGATTCAGTGTAAGATACTAGTTTTAGTCTCCATCCATATGTTAATAAAATGCAAAATGAAGCAGAGAAAATGCATCCCTCTCAGAAAATAGAATCTGAAAGTTCTAAGGTGAAATATAAGCCATGGTTTATTCTTCCAGGTATTCTGAAGTAGATTAATTAATAAGCAGAGTTAAACTCAAAACATCAGAACATATGAAAATGTCACTGTGAAATTCACTGTATGCAAAAACAAAACTGAAGGACTGCAAAATAATGTAAGTTGTGTTTATGGGAAACAAAACCACAAACCTAAATCCAGACTGCTTTCAGTTAATGAATTAAGATTTTCCAGATCATCAAATCTGCCTCGTTGACTGTTGCCTTCAGCAGAGGTTATGGAGGATAGGGAATCGATGCCAAAATTTTCTTTCATCTTAAGAGGAAGAAAAACAGAAATGCATTAGTAATGAAATGCAATGTCATTCAAACCAGATAACAGGGATAGTGGAAAACTGGTCTGCAAACAGGCATTCTCAAGTAATGGTTTCTACTGTGGTAAGTAGTAACAAATGCTAGAAACTGAATACCTGCAAAAGTGTGGGCTAGTAAAATCTAGTTTTTTTAAATATTGGATTTTTTTGTTTTAAGAACTTGACTTATATATACTTACCTGGCAGGGGAGATACCATGATTACGAAGAACTTGAGTTAAAAACAAGTGGATTTGAATAAACATTTACCAAGGTAGAGGAATAAAAGATTTATTGGGTCAAGCAAGGTCAACTGTTGATGCACACCACCCCCTGGGTCATGTGGCTCTGATGCCTACACTTTAAATAAGTTAACTGCCAACCCTAAAACACACAGTGAATTTTTGTATCTCTAAGCCATGCATTCCTTAGTCTATCTGTCTAGAGAACGTCTAGTCATGCAAACCTAAAACCTATAGATAAGCATTGTGGATGGCTTATCGCACTTTCCTCTTGTGCTCCTTTATACCAAAGTCTCTTATGGTGTTTCAAAGTTACAAGCTTCCAGAATATACAATTCTCAGTTAAGTATTTTATCATGATATTTTAAAAGTCTTTATAAGTATAAATGTAAATATTATATTCACAATATGGATATACCAAAATTCCCTTAAGGTGAATAACACTAATTCTCTATAGTTAGAAATTAAAGTTGTTCAAAACAAAATTGTGAATTATATTTTTTATAATGTTTCACATTTTTTCATTAAGTTTTATTGTTCAGACTTCAGTGGTAAGAGAAAGACCTCTCATGAACCAAATACTGCTAGCTTTTTCCAAACAGATTATGAATACAGCTAAGTATGTAACTCTATGAGATACTCAATGGAATCTACAGAACACACAATTAAACTCAAATATTAAATATGAATAAGAAATAAGATAGAAATACACCCTGTCTATAATAAAATAAGCAAGAAGAACTTTTTCTTAGAGAGGTGAGTATGGAGGAAACAATAGGCACTAAGTATTTTAACTGAAAGGACCTCTGGTGGCCCAATGATTAAGCACTCAGCTGCTAACCAAAAGGTTGGCGGCTCAAACTCAACAGCTGCTCCCCAGGAGAAAGACCTGGCAATCTGTTCTCATAAAGATTACAGCCTGGTAAACCGTATGGGGCAGTTCTACCCTGTCCTATGGGGTCCAAATGTGTAGCAATTGACTAGATGGCACACAACAACAGGCACTTAAAAAGAAATTTTACTATAATTTTTGGGCCATTTGGATATTAAGAAAAAGGTAATGGCAGTCATGAAAAGGAAGAATAAGAGAACTGATACCTGAATCTAGGATTTCAATATGGTGGATATGAGGTTAGATCTGCAGAAAAATGACTTCCATTTTGTTTGCTTTTCTTCTAAATAGAGAAGAAAATACCACTATACAAGTACTCCCAGGAAAATGAATCCTCAGGCAAAAAGAACCAGATCTATAAAACTTCATGGCTTTACTCTTTAACTAAAACGGGGTATGAGGGCAGTAGAGAAACTCTGAAGTAGCTGAGTACTTTTTGCACTCCACATATATAGTTGTATCTGTAGTTGAAAATAGCTTACAACAAAGACGGAAGTGATAATGTTTCTCTATCCCTCTGGAGGGTACCCTCTAAATAGAAACGTATTGGGTGCTCCATATTTGTAAAGCATTTGAACGCGTTTTTAAAATCCATTATAATTTTAGATAATAAATTACTCTTACAGGGATTCATCAGTAATGTTGTTGTTGTTAGTTGATGCTGAGTTGAATCCAACTCACGGCAAACCCATGTTACAGAGGAGAACTGCTCCATAGGGTTTTCAAGGCTGTGACCTTTCAAAAGCAGAACACCAGGCTCCTCTTCCAAGCCACCTCTGGGTGGGTAAGAACTGCCAACCTTTTGGTTAGTAGTTGAGCACTTAACCATTTGCACCACCCAGGGACTCCTCCATCAGTAGTGAGAGGAGGGCAAATAAAGATGCAAGCCCATCCTAATCATGTGCGACCAAGTGTGTGTAACCATTGCCATTGTTGGGTAGAGGAGAAGGAAGAAAAAGGGTTAACGTCCAAAGCAAGAATATACGATTATTTTAAAAAAATAAAATACAATTTAAGCAAGACATATTAGGACTGAAACAACCTTAATCAATGCCAGTATGGAGAGGCCATAGAGGTTATCTCAGAGAATCAGTAACGGAAAATAAAAAGAAGGTAGCTAAGAAATTTAACAGATTTAGTAATTAGGATGTACATCCTTCAAATTGCAAGCCCTGAATGTTGTTACAAACAAGTCTTTTAAAGAGCAATTTATCAAACAATGAATTGACTTGAAGGGTTAACCTTACAAGGGGATTGAAAAAAACTAATGTTATGCAAATGAGTACTTGAGATCAGGATAAAATTTGAGTGACAGCATAGATTCAAAAATTTCTGTATCTCAAACAATCTATATGGAAATGAAGATGAAGTACTTGGAGAGTTGTGTTAAATGATCAAAAAGTGGTTCCATCACACACAAAATGTAACAATCTTTGTTGGTTACCAGGGATGGGAGGGGTGGGGGGG